ATAAAAAGTAAAATATTTAAGTTGTGAAAGCTGTAATGAAGCTTTCACAACTTCTTTTTAAAAATGTTATACCGAGTAATATTGAAGACAAAACAATATGTGTATAATAAACATTATCTATCAATGTGGTTTTGCATAGATAGTATGGATCGCAAATGATGTTGCAAGCCTTACATATATTTTAAGTAATGTTACATAGTAATTTATACCTATAACAAATCTTTGTGTTATTAAATATTTACTATTAATATTTTAGTACGAACAATTTTCACAACTTTAATTTGTAACTGAATTTGAAAAGAATTTTAAAATTTTTTGCCTTAATACTCGACATATTACACTTACATATTAAACGTTAACTCATCGTTGCTAGACAAATGCGGGCGATCGCATTAGAACTATTTCCGTTTACTTCATATTTTATCAAATTAGTAATTAAGGGAAGATAGTAATACGAACGGAACTAGAAAAAAAACGAACCGGAGAGTAGGTAGATATTAGAAAAAGAGAAAGAGCTCCAACGATGCCAGAAGAAGGTGAATAAAGAAAAAGGAAAGGCTTCAGAAACAAGCAAGAAGCTAGAAAGAAGAAAGGAGTCACAAACAATTAACATAAAACACCAAGAAAGCCAGAAACCAGAGAAAGTATTAGGTGTGCCGGTATGACTCTGCTGTTTTTTACGGTTTAAGAATACAAAAAACATTATAGTAACCTTTACTTAAATATAATTTCCATTATTAATAACATTTTCTGAAAATTTGGATAATTTATGAATGTCATTCAAGAATAATTTTGATCTTTGAGAACCATCTCTTTGTAAGAGCTAATCAAATCATGATTTTTTCCCACCATGCTTAGGGACCACATTGGCCAGAACTGTTTATTCTGCTGTAGAATACTGCGCGCCGGTATGGATAAACTAAACAGTCCATACACTCTGAAAATCGAAATACAACTAAACTCGACTATGGGAACAATATCAGGATGCTTTAAATCTACTGCTCTTCACTGGTTACCAACGCTAAACAATATCGCCACCCCAATACTACGAAGGAGAAAAGCTCTTCTAAACGAGTTGAACAAAGTAACTGACCAGTATATCTTAGATCAAGATCACTTATCTTGATATGAATCGACTTAGATTCCGACACCCTCCTTAAAATCTTGCTGAGGAACAAGCTAAAAGCAACTACAACATAAACTCTGAGTAGCAAAAAGACTGGGACGCCAAAGCACCATCAGAAATGAAACAACATATCTTGCCCAACCAAGCAGCAAAAGAATTTTGTATTGGTCATGGAGTATGTGGTGATAGCCTCCACAAATGGGGAGTGTTGCCATCTCAGTGTGACTGCGGAGCTCCAAAACAATCTATCCAACACATTCTGGGGAATTACCGTTTTAAATCTTATCCTAGCCGAATTGGATATACAGGATGTTTCTGTAAATCGTGGCATAATTTTAATCACAACTACTACAGTAAAAATTATGACGACTCGTGTAAAAATTTTTGGTCTCAACCCATAAATGGCTAAGGTATGGGCCTTCGGAAATTTTTAAACATTAAAACAAACTTAACATTTTTTAAACACACGCAAAAAGATACAACCTCGTTTTTGACGTGTTTTCATAAATATTAGTAGTAAGTAAAGCAAGTGTTAAATTATTACCGAACGTACGTTAGACGCTAATAGTTGTCTAAAATGGCAAATAATTACAATTTTAGTGAGTACACTCATATTCTTTGGGAGGGTCTTTAGACAGTGCTAAACGCAGCGGCGAGACGATATTGCAAAAAATTTCCCAACCGCAGACAACCTGATAAAAAACGTTTCTAAAAATATGTAAATAACGTTAATCAGAAGTCACAGTTCGTATACCTGAACTAGAAGAAAACATGTTGGATTTTGTGGCAGATCGTAGTACTGCTAGTACTGTTGATATCTACAGTTCGGACATTTCGGAATATCCAAAAATACGATTTGGCGTGTTTTACACAAACAGTAATTGTATCCATACCATTTGTCTACAGTACAAGAATTAAAAATTGCTGATCATCCTCTGCGAGTACAGTTTTGTCATACTATGATGGAAAACAATGAAAAATAGGATACATTATTCTGAAGCGATCTTTGCAATAAATTTTTTTCGAAATGTTTATAATAACCGCACGGGAACTGTTTTTCGACGTCCAATGGCAAACCGGCCTCAACCGGACCGCCGCGCCGGTCAAAACACGTTTCTCACGTGTACTTGCCAATAGATTCGACACGCAAAGAGAAATAAACTTTCTTCTTCTGCATTTCTGAAGAAAAGCCATACTTTACCCTTTGCAACCATAAAATCTATGTGTTTGCAGATGTTCCTCACCTAATTCGGAATAATTTTGTTGATAAAGGTTTTGAGAATTCGGCCTTTTACCTTCAAAAAATTACTTAAAAAGATTTATTGATTTAGCTAAAGATGTCCAGTGCCCAAAAGTTGAAAAACGTTTATTATTTCGGTCAAAAATGTACTTCAGAATAAAAAAGATTAATAAAGATTTCATCTTAAAACCTGGTCTTAAGAGAAAAATCAAAAAGTTAGCAACCTAAATTGACTAAAAATAATTAATCACCACTTATTTAGACGTTTCTTCAAAAAATCTAGGTATGTTTTGATATTACATGAAATTAAATGTGAGTTTAAATATTTTTGTTGTTTTTTTACCTTTTATGAAAAATAAAAACTAGATAAAATTTTATTGTACTTATACAGGGTCATCCACGACGACAGTCCATTAAAACTTTACAGGGTTCTGGCACGCAATTATCAATTGCGTTCTCTTCGACTAAAATATTTTCAAATATCTAACACTTCCGGTTATACCGGAAGTCGCCACCTACTTCATTTTTTTTAATGGAATACCCTGTATATTTTATTTTGTGTTGGGAATGTTGTTGTGGTTATGTATTATCAGAGGATCACTAAGGAAAGAGTAAACAGAGTAAAAAGAGTTGGTGTGATGACTAGGTTACTTTTTGTAGTGATCTGTTCTCAAGAAATGCCACGTTTGGAATTTAGTAATGAGGATTATTTGAATTTGATAATAATTTATGGAGAGTGCAACCAAATAATTGCGCGTACGTGTCGGCTGCAACATACAAGTGGCCTAAAATTGAACAAAAATTTCAAAAATGTAATGAAATACAGGGTGTTCCATTTGAAATATGAAAATTATCACGTCTTCCGGTGTGACCGCAAGCACCCGGAACCTGAAAATATTTTAGTAAAAAGCTGGCATCAAACACAGAAGTCTGCAAATTTTCAAAAGGCCAGTTCATATGGTTATACACTACGATCACACTAGGTATTTATGGTACACTAGGTTAAATATCGATATGATATGTGTACATTTTTCAAAAAACCCTAATTATCTCCTAAACTATAAATGTTAGGTATAGGACATATGGGATATAAAAGATGTAAAATGAGACATCGAAGACGACTAAGTAATAAAATATGGGGGGTGCCATTTAAAAAAATGAAGTTATGGGATTTCCAAATTTCGAAAAGTTAACGAGCTGTAGTAAAGTGACCAAACGATCTAGACAGCCATACTCGGCACCAAAACACACTCCATCATGTTACTTATGCATGTTCTGAATCCTAAATTGATATCCCAAAAATCGAGTGTTCTCTGATTTTTTTAACAAATGTCTGCTGGAGCAGATTTTTCTAGAAAAATTCGAATAACTCGAGAACGGCCGAATCAAATTGCAAAAAGTAAAGTTATTCATAAACCTTGAAAATAGACAAATCCAAATATGTAAAAATATATAGGATGTTCCATTTAAAAAAATAAAGTAGGTGGCGACTTCCGGTATAACCGGAAGTGCTAGAAATCTATAATATATATATTATAATACTTAAATCTGAATTTTCAAATTTGTATTTTGGCCAGAACCCTGTAAAGCTCTAATGGGCGGTCGTCGTGGATGACCCTGTATTAATTTACTTGTTAAAATTGTACTTGCCAATAGATTCGACACGGGAAGAGAAATAAACTTTTTCGGTGCATCAAAGTCGTCCGCTATTGGATAATAGCGGATGAATTTAAACAGTTCCCGTGCGGTTATTATAAACATTTCGAAAAAATTTTATTAGAAAGATCGCTTTAGAATAATGTATCCTACAATCGTATAATGCTCTGATGTGGAAGATACCGGACACCTGTATAAATAGTATAAATAATCTTCGTATCTTGATAAATTAAAAATCTTGTGCATAAATAAAACAATAAAAAAATCGTGACATAAATAAAATGTATTTTAAAAACAAGAATGACTCAGAAAAATGCATAATTTTCCATTATTACATTTATTATTCTTGAACTTGTAATACGAATTTAACAAAAATAAATAAATCATGTAGAAATTTTTATTTAAATTTAAAAATCAAATAAAAAAAAAGGTTTCTATTCAACCTTGTAGTTTAAGACGTATTATTATTATTACTATTCATTAAATTTTACAAGTACACAACATCAAGTCAGCTGTGTTATTACATCACATGGTAAAAAAAAAAAACATGTCATAAATTTATCGAAATTGAATTGAAATTATTGAGTAAAAAATGTTGATTAAACTTTGTTAACGTATATAAGAATGAAAGAGAGAGAGAAAACACGTAATGATCGTGTGGAAATATTTAAAATTCCATACTTGGTCGCCGTTTTGTAAGAGTGTGCGTCTATCAGTGTGAGTGAGTAACGTGTGTGAGTGTGTACGAGACATAACGCCACAAAATGGCGGGGACAACAGCTGTGAGATGCCGGCATTCAAAAATTCCTATTAAAACCAAGCGGACGCGTACAAGCCTCGATTCGATACTAACAACGCTTTAAATTTAAAAAATAATAATAAAGTTGTATTTAAAAAATATTTTTTTTCGTTAAAGTTAATAATAAATTTTTTGTAAGAAACCACGCGGAGAAGAAATTTAAAAAAATATCCGCTTACCTGTTAACGTTAGCCGGACTGTCCCTCTCCGTGTGTTGTAGTACCTCTACCGCGCCCCTGTCTTCATAAATAGACATAATCTCGCGGGCAGCGCGGCACCGAAAACGTCCCCCTCGTTTACAATTCGGGACACGATTCGTACTCGTTTATATAATTTTTTCCGCGCGATCGAAAATTTCAAATTCTTCAACGACGCTTTTTTTCCGAAAAAAATTCAATTAGAAGTTAACGTGCGCGCCGCCGAACACGAACATACGCCACCGAATAGCAGCGGTTTTCTGGCGGGAAACAGCTGAGACCCAGACCGGGGCCGTTTTAGTGTCCGTGTGTTCATACGCCAAACTTGTCCAATCATTTCCCTCCGTCATTTCAAACCGAAAACGTTCAAAACTCCCAAGATAATTCTCCAATTTCCTTATTTTAAATGAAACGTCTTAAAATCGTTGAGGTTAAGTGGTAAAAACCCGAAATAAATGCGAAAATATAGTGGTACTATTTATGACGCGGATTAAAGTAGAATAGTACTTATCAACGTCTGCCAGCTGGCGCTGTAGCCCCTCCTATCGGGTACAAAAGGAAACCGATCGGCGTCATTCCCCCTTTGCCCCGTTTTATCCCGGAAACGTCCACACTTCACCCCACCACATCCCGAAAATAAAAAGAATACACAAAGTTCGATTTACAACAAACAAAAAATAGGATATAATAATTTTCATCTAAAATATACATAATTGGTACTTTATTTTTACTAAGTTTACGTCTTCGTACTTTTTAAACCTTACACACTGTACTTAAAAAAAGTAATATTAATTAAAAAAAAGTTAATCTCTCAAAAAAAATTATTTGAGAAAAATATTACTTAAAAATATAATAAATACTTCTCGACTTATAACATTCTTATTTCCTATTATATCTCTTTTGAAAAAGCGCCTTTCAATCGAAATAAAAGAAAAAGAAACGGTGATAATGAACAAAAAGGTGTTGTTATTCTTGATTTATTTGTTGTTGTTGAAATTGTTCTTGAAACTTAGATAATTAAAACATAGTTAATAAACTTATTGTTTTTTGTTTTAATGAGGCACTATAAGAACTTTTTGATATTTGCTACTTTGAGGTGACGAGACTGTGACGGGTTCATCTTCACTTTTAGCTGTTGAATCAAGTCGAAAATTTTCAAAGAAGGTCCAACTTTACCACCCGTGTATGCCAAAATATCTTCTTTACTCAAATATAATAGCGTTTTTCCATCCACTTTCTAAAAAATACAAGAAAAATTAAATCATTTTTTAATACACATTTTTTAATTAATTCTTTGTACAATTTTAAACTTTAAAAATAGTTAATCTGACATAAAATTTTTCGTCCTACAAATTCTAACTGTAAGACAAAATATATTCTATGAATTATATCAATATGCGCGATGGCGGTTCATTGATTCATGTTTGTTGTGTTTATATTCCGCCTTTGAATAACGTAGCGTTATATGCTTTTATTGATCAAGTTTCCGCAATTATTCCGAATGATAAATTTTCTATCACAGGTCTGTTCTGGCTTCTACCACATCCGCTTCAGTTGGGTGTGATGGTATTTCCATAGGAATGATACGTCTCTGCAGTCCGTTGATTTTGCCGTATCTGACTCACTTTCTCAATTGAAAGATTTTAGACCAATAAGTATTCTTCCAACGTTATCTAAGGTGCTTGAAAAAATTATGAAGCAGCAGTTGGTGAGTTACGCAGCAGTCTGACTTTCGAAGTGACTATAGTTGTGCAACTGCAATGTTGCACCTAACTGATGATATTCTTATGAACACGGACAATGGATTGTACACTGTTGTGGTCTTCCTGGATTTTTCTAAAGCGTTTGATACCGTTGGGTGAGATTCTATATGATTTGGGGCTGAGTTCAGATGCGGTATCTATGTTGGCTGACTACCTCTGTGATAGGTCTCAAAGGGTAAGGATCGGTGATGATTTGTCTCACATAGTTAGAGTTTTGAATGGTGTACCACAGGGTTCGGTGTTGGGGCCTCTCTTGTTCTCTTTGTACGCTTCGTAATTTAGTAGACGGGTACAATATTGTAAAGTCAATATATCTGCTGATGATATACATGAAAATGATAAGAATCTAGCACAGTTGCGTATTAATGAGGACCTGTCTACTATATTTAATATTGCAACGTTTCATAAACTAAAGATTAATCCTGATAAGTCTGCGTGTGCATGCTTCGGGAGAGGGAGGGGGTCACAGGTCATATCAAGATCCAAGTTCAGGATCTTGATATTAATATAAATCGTTCAAGAATCAATGTTGTTAAGGAAGCAAAATATCTTGGTTTAACAATAGATAACACCTTCAGACATTAGGTGAATGGGAGAAATATAAACAAGCTCTAACGAATTACACCAAAAACATACGTAAGGCAAACAGAGAGTCTTGAAGGAGGTTCTGTGAGGGAGTGAAAGACACCCAGCAGCGGCCTGACGATAGTTTTACGGACTGTAGCAGAGCCTCGTTAAAGCTTCTCATGCAGATTCACTTCCTAGGAAGCTTGAGGATGATGGCTGTTAATGCCACAGCGGGCTATTCCTGCAAGGCAAAGCGCCCCTCAAATACATTGATTGGAGTGTGGCTAGAAAAGTCGTCCGTGCACATCCGTGGACCAGGCGATTCAAACATTTAAGCCGTTCACATCGCCTGGAGAAGACAATCTTTCCTGCTTTATTACAGCAAGGAAGGTAACTGTTGTTGCCAATTTTTGTAAAAATTTTCAGAGCGAATGTCGCCTGGAAATATGTACCGGCAGAATGGACCAAAGTAAGGGTATCTTATATACCCAAAGCGGACCGTTCGGTCCCTACTCCGAATACCTTTCGACCCATCAACCTAACGTCATGCAGCAATAAAGAACAGGGGAGTGGAAGCAACTATAGCGGGTTGGATCCGCAATATGCTTGATAGTAGAATAGTTTCTACTTTACTCCACGGTGACACGATACGCTGCAGGCCGGGAGTTGTACCCTTCACCAGGAAACGAAAGTTGGATGGACTAATCCGCCCAACTATCCAAGGTGAAAAAATTCCTTTTTCAAAGGAAGTCAAATATCTAGGAGTAATCCTAGACAAAACCTTGCCATGGAATGGATATTTGCAGGGAATGTTGCACAAAGCTAGACTATCTTTATGAACTTGTCGCAGTCTTTGTGGAAAAACTTGGGGTCTTACCCCTGAAAGACTGTACTGGCTGTATGTGACTGTGGTTAGACCTATGATCACATACGGAGTAGCGGCCTAGTATAGGAAAGTCCGACAGACTTCAGTTATCAGTAAACTTTCACGAATTCAACGAGTGGCTGGATTGGCAATATCTGGTGCGATAAGCACAATGCCAACTCTAGCAATGAAGGTTCTGCTTGGCCTATCTCCTCTGCATTTGCATATAGAGAAAGTGGCTAGAACAACCATTTACAGATTTAAGCAATATGCTCAAAACTGTTCCGACATGTCCTACCAATGGGCTGCGGAAGACATTATAAACACTGATACATACTGTGTTATCAATGCCGTCAGATTTGGCGGAAACACTATCAGTGATTAATGTTTGATACCAGATTGTGCTGCCTGAGCGGCAGTTCTGGATCGAAAATAAAAATTCTCTGGTTCAGGCAGATATTAGTATATTCACAGATGGATCAAAATCGCCGGAAGGGATCGGAGCAGGAGTATACTGCCAGACACCTTGAATTAAGCAAGCCTACAGCCTCTCACGTACTGTACTGTATTCCAGGCGGAAGTACACCTATCCCCCGATTTACACGGTAGATACGTTCCTGAGAAAAAAGTGTAAAACGAAAATTAAAAATTTTCAAGTCAAAACCGTGTAAATCGAAAAGCTTGCAGAAAATGCATAATTTTGCTATTTAACAGTTGTGATTTTTTTCAATATTTTTAGGTGTACACAGAAATAAAAATAAAATGCATGGCAGGTTAAAATATGTAATATATTTTAAATCAGCACATAAGCTCGGGATTCCCCGTGAGATGTGTACACAGCGCACGTGTTCAATCACAGTAGCATTTAGTAGAGTGCGATAAAAACAAAAAAAAAACTTATTTGGAAAACCGTGTAAAAGCGCAAACGTGTAAAACAAGTACCGTGTAAATCGGGGGATAGGTGTATTTGCTATTGACATGGGTGCTAAAATCCTTCTTGAGAGAGGGGTGAAGAACATGACAGTACGATTTTTCTCAGACAGTCAAGCCGCTCTTCAAGCGCTGCAAGCCGTGAAAACGATGTCGGCTCTGGTTAATGATTGTAAGAGAACATTAAACACACTGAGTTGTGATAACAGAGTTTCTCTGATCTGGGTCCCGGGCCACTCTGGGTTGCAGGCAATGAAGTGGTAGATGAGCTAGCACGAGAGGGCAACGCTAAAGCGTTTGTGGGACCGGAACCAGCAGTTGGTTTATCATTTGTGATGGCCAAATATAGGATTGGACGTGGGCTGAAAAAAGACTTCGCCTACTGCGAGCCAGTTCTCCTGGAATAAGACATGCTAAGGACATTGCTAAGGTGTTTATTAACATCGCCACTGTCAAACCCGAGAATTTTATAGGACTTGCTCGTAGCAGCATAAAAGTTCTAATGGGTGTCTTTACTGGGCATTGCCGATTAAAAGCACACCTCAACTTGTTGGGTTTAGCCGACGATGTTGAATGCCGACTATGTGCGGAGGAAGCAGAGACGGTTGAGCATGTTTTATGCCACTGTCCTGCTGTTAACCGTATCAGATTCTCGATTTTTGGGTCGCAGTTTGTCTCCTTAAAGGATCTGAATGACCTTTCACCGAGTAAGGTATTAATGTTCCTTAAGAGCATTGGACTGCACGGTGAAATTTGATAACGATATCTATCGGGGTACAATAGATCCTTAGGGTCGCGGTGCAAGGTTGGTTGGTTCGCCTACCCGATATGTAGTCTATTTAATGTAATGTAATGGAATGTAACACCTTCAAATTTAAAACTCAAATATTTACATGAGAAGGTCGTATTCATGTTTAAGAAAACTTTATCCTCATCGATCCGCTCTTTCGATAAAATTAAAAAAACAGTTATGTGATTCTCTTGTGCTGCCTCACTTCAACTTTATGGCGCCTGTGTATCATCCAGCTATAGATGTGTTTATATCGAATCGCATACAAAAAGTTCAAAATAGTTGCCTTAGGTTCATTTTTGGAATTCGGAAGTATGACAGAATCTCACACAAACTTAAAGATATTGGGTGGCACAGAATGGATATCCGCAGAGAGTTGCACAGTTTGGTTTTGTTTCATAAAATAGTCACAACACATCTACCGACATACTTGTATGAGAAAATTACTTTTAAAAGGGCGAACAATCTACAGACGAGATTAAAATATGGTATACATCTACGAAAATATAGAACCTCTTCGTTTCACAGATCTTTTACATATCACATATATGTAAGTCATTGTTGTGTTGGGACTCGTGTAGTATAATTAATATTAAGTTTATGTTTGTGGTAAGGTTGGTTGAACAGATGTTATCTGGAGCCCGCCTATTGCACAATGCCATTTTTTTCCTTTTCGTTTTTGTGTATTGTAAGGTACTGATTTTTTTGGTTTATTGTTGTTTAAACATTCTAGTTTAGAGTTTATCTACAGTATAGATACAATTTTTGTTATTATTATATATTTTTTTCTTTTATTGTATTCAATGGTTTGTGCAATAAAGACATTTATTATTATTATTATATGCGGAGACTTCAACCTACCGGAGCTGAGGTGGTCTCTAGATGTCAATTCTCGTCATTGTGTCGCTTCACGTATTAATAATACTAGTAGAGCTCTTGATTTTTTTGACGCTCTGTGTCTGTGCGGCCTGATTCAATTCAATCGCCACATTGGTGCCTTTCGGAATACTTTGGATTTAATAATTACTAATTTCTATGATATAAGTAACGTGACTTTAAGCGATAACCCGTTGGTTCGTGAAGATATTGCTCATACTACAGTTGAGTTATCCTGTGCGGTTGCCACGTCTTCTAGTTTCGAATATAACTCCTTCGTCTCTTACAATTACCGCAGGGGTGATTTTGATTCTCTTAATACTCAACTTGCGGTGATTGATTGGGAGGCGGTGTTGTGTGTTGACGATGTGGACTGCTGATTAGAGTTATTTTATATCCATGTACGTGAAGCTATTGATAAATTCGTTCCAAAAGTTCAAAAACGG